AAATTCAACTGTTGAAATATGATGGTATAGTATCACAACAATCAACTTTACCTTATCTTGTTCAATAATAAGGTTTACAGTAGACAAATTCAACTGTTGAAATATGATGGTATAGTATCACAACAATCAACTTTACCTTATCTTGTTCAATAGAAAGGTTTACAGTAGACAAGTTCAACTGTTGAAATATGATGGTATAGGATCACAACATCCAACTTTATCTTATCTTGTTCAATAGAAAGGTTTACAGTAGACAAGTTCAACTGTTGAAATATGATGGTATAGTATCATAACAATCAACTTTATCTTATCTTGTTCACTAGAAAGGTTTACAGTAGACAAATTCAACTGTTGAAATATGATGGTATAGTATCACAACAATCAACTTTACCTTATCTTGTTCAATAATAAGGTTTACAGTAGACAAATTCAACTGTTGAAATATGATGGTATAGTATCACATCAATCAACTTTATCTTATCTTGTTCAATAGAAAGGTTTACAGTAGACAAACACTAACACACAATAATTTCCAACTAAAGATATTAAAAACACACTAAAGACAGATCTGTACACATCAATCCTGTCTCATCTGGTTCAATAAACTTTAAACAATAACAACATTCAGTAGTAGTTACAGTTTGTTTCAAACTCTTTACAATACATTAAACAAAAGTATAGTTTATCCCATGTGTTCATTCTCTTATGTACTTTTAATTTACTATTTGTTCCAAACTGTTTTCCATAATCTGTGAAACTGTATAGTTTGTCTCCGAAATGTATTCTTCAATACATTTTTAAGTTACAGTTGCTTTGAAATTATTTTTCAGTAACTGTACAGAAGCAACGGTTCTCACTATACTGTATGATATCTTAATCCACCATTTATGTAAAACTGTTTATCACATACTGTACAAGTGTAAGGTTACCCAGTATGTATTTGTTCATGTTTTCTTAAGCTAGAGTTTTTTATAAATTGTTTCCCACAAACATCACAACTGTAAGGTTTCTCTCCAGTGTGTATTTGTACATGATATTTTAAAGAACTGCTTGTTCTAAAGCCTTTTCCACAAACTGCACAACAGTAAGGTTTTTCCCCAGTATGTATTCTTTGATGTATTTTTAATTCCTCATTTGTTCTAAAGTTTTTTCCACAAACAGCACAACTGTAAGGTTTCTCTTTAATGTGTATTCGTTCATGATTTTTTAAGTTACCATTAGTTCCAAATTGTTTTCCACAAACATCACAACCATAACGTTTATCCCCAGTATGTATTCTTTGATGTTGTTTTAATTCATTATTTGTTTTAAAGTCTCTTCCACAAACATCACAACAGTAAGGTTTCTCCTCAGTATGTCTTCTTTCATGTCGTTTTAATTGATTACTTGTTTGAAACTGTTTTCCACAAACGTCACAACAATAAGGTTTTCCAACAGTGTGTTTTTCTAGATGCACTTTTAAGTCACTTGTAGCTCTGAAGTCTTTTCCACAAATTGTACAACAGTAAGGTTTCTCACCAGTATGTATTCTTTGATGATATTTTAATGCATTATTTGTTCTAAACTGTTTATTACATACTACACAAGTGTAGGGTCTCTCTCCAGTATGTATTCGTTCATGAACTTTTAAGCTAAAGTTACTTCTAAGTTGTTTTCCACAAACATCACAACTGTAAGGTTTCACTCCAGTATGTATTCGTTCATGTCTTTTTAAGTTACCATTACATCCAAATTGTTTTCCACATGTTGCACAACTATAAGGTTTCTCACCAGTAGGTATTTGTTTATATTTTTTCAAATCACTATTCAATCTAACTTCACAACTATACAGTTTCTTTCTATATGGCATTCTCTTGTGTTGTTTTATGTTATCCAATGTTACACTTTCCTTTCCACTCGTTACATTACTGTATGGTATATCATCACCTTCATGTACATTTGATTGTTTTACGTTATCCAATGTTACACTTTCCTTTCCACTCGTTACATAACTGTATGGTTTACCATCACCTTCATGTATATTAGATTGTTTTATATTATCCAATGTTACACTTTCCTTTCCACATGTTACATAACTGTATAGTTTATCATCACCTTCATGTATATTAGATTGTTTTACGTTATCCAATGTTACACTTTCCTTTCCACATGTTACATAACTGTATGGTTTATCATCACCCTAAAACAATCTAATATACATGAATGTTACTTCCATTTATATTTGTTTTTCTACAAACATCACTGTTTAGTTTTGAAGATTTCATAACTTCTTTAAATGGATCTTCTTGTTTCAAGAGATGGTAATCAGGATAACAATTTCCACAAGAGATGTTCACACTGGTCTTTATAGCTAAAATAAAAATATATGATACAACAGACATATTTTTACCTTCTCGCTATAAGTAGATCAATGTGTGTATGTTACAACTTTTTTAGAGAATTACATTCAACATTTAATTAAACTACTTTTTTATCAATGTATATCAATAAACTAGGCATCAAAACATGGCTAATAAATCAAATATTAATATCACTTCAGTTTTAAGTTCTTATTTTTCTAAGCATGTATTTAAGAAAATCTTCAATCTCTTTCTAGTATGAGAATTGTAACATTTGTTCTCTAGGTCTTCCCTCTTCTTTAAATTCACTTTTTTTTATTCATCTTGTTTGTTGGCTTTTTTCCTGGTCAACTATAGGCAAAGGATTACTTGACATGGTAGCTAACTTTATACATTGTAATGATAATAAAAATAGCTAGAAGCTAGGTGATATGGTTCATGATGATTTACTGTAGCTATAGGCTATTTGATTGCATTAATTCCAGGTGTAAAATGTTAAGCTACAGCTACAGATTTTCATGAGAATATAGTGAGCATTTATAGTTTATATTTATAATGCATAGCAATGGGCAAATATATGCCTAGACAAAGACACAATCCCCACTAAGCACGTATAAAATTTTTCAAATAAAATATATACATTTAAAACATCATTTATTTCAAATAAACCTTTGTGTCTTTTAAAGTAATCAATCTACGATCGTATAATAAAATTTAATATTATGTATATTGATTTTTTTTACTCCTTCACTTCATACATAATATAGGAGTTGACTCCCTAAAAATACTGATTGTAGAAAGCACTTGTAGTACCTACATGTTACAGTCATCTATTATTGGCTGGTAATTCCTGTTTGACCAAATTGTACTTAAGCTTTTTTAAAGGAACATCATATATATGTAAGAAAGTTACCTTCAAGGGGTAATGATAACATTGTTTATACTAAAATATCATGTTTTTTTAGCTTATGTAAAATACAGAAGAAACAATTGACTTTTCAATACCCCTAAAACTTTTGCAGTATCTTATTTAGTATTGTACAAAAGGTATGGGTGCCAAACCATTTTTGTTGTAGACTTGCAAGAGAATAACAATAATAATTACAAATGGACCATTTTAAACAGATTTTCTTCTAACAAGGTTCCTTTTTTATGCATTTTTCTATGCAGTCAATAGTTTAAACGTTCTTTGAACTGAATCTTTACTATTTAAGGTGCCCAAATGTTCTATTATGGTTTTGTCAATTCCTTGTGATCCTTGTTACAAACCACTATTGCGGTTCATGATCATGATGCTATTTTCATCGTTTAACACTTTAGAAATACTTTCCTACTTATTTCAAATCATTATTGAAAACTTAAAATGGAAGTAACATACCGTGTTCAAGAGAAAGGTGTACATTAAACTAAGTCTTAAATCAACTGTGGAAATATGATGGTACAGTGTCACAACAACCAACTTTACTTTCAATCAGTAATTTCTGGATTAATTTTAAGAGATGTCTCATAACTATAACTAATTTAATATCACAAAATCTTCTAATGTTTTGTCTTCTTAATATGTTGACTGACATTAATACATTAAAAGTTCCTGTTCAAAAGATCTGTATTTAAGTTAACCCTATCCACATGGTTCAAAGGCCATGTCATCTCATTCAAAAGTTTATTGAACTACTATTTTATGAATTTATGTAATTGAATTATTCAGGTGCCAAACTCATTCTTTTAAAGAGATTCAAAAGGTAAGGTAAACTTAGTGAGCTCTAAATTTCATATTTTTTAGACCCAAATACAGCTTAGTTACTAAGTTTGATAAATTATAGTGAAATTCTATGATATTGATACAGTAATTTATGACTTTTAATCATTTCAAAATGTATATATAAAATTAAAAAAAAATATATTTTTTATCATATCCTCCATATGCAAATTTTGATACGGCTTAGCAACCTACGGGAAGCAGCAAACGAGTACAATGTTCATAATTATAAGATGTAATTGTTTGTTATACTTATATATTTACTGTTCTATGTTTTAAGATAAATAAATTACATTTAAGAACTTTGTTGTAAATAGTAATAATATATATACATATATAATGTATTATAACTGAAATGTGACTGTATTTTACAAAATATACACCTGGAAAAAAGTTAAGCACCCCCGTGTTTTTTTCAAGTGATTCAGATTCGACGTTCTTGTGACTGTATTATAAATTACCTATTACTAAGTCTTAAAACGTTGTTTAATACTAAAAGTAGTAAATTCTGTACTATTAGTTGGGACAACAAAGA